TTACTAGCTGTACTGCTTTCAGCATTGAAACAGATTTTACTGAGAATACAGTTGGTTTGAGCAGAGTGGGGAGATACTTTCTTTAACTTGTGAGCATTGCATTCCCCTTTTACTGAACCAGTGTTCTTTATGGGATGTACAGAGACAATCCCTCCCCTCGGCAGGCAGACAGACAATGGCAATAATTCTTCTCTTGATGCTTAACCAGCAAGAGAACAGTCTCCATTTCTGAAATAGCATCCTAGTCTAAACCGAGCCGAGTACCTGGGGCTGGGATGATGTTGGGGCTGGCAGGAGCCCAACCAGAGATCACAGAACTCATTCTGTTTTTATAGGTAAAAATCCAAAGCCCCGAGTTCAAGAGAAGGACACTGCAGAACGCACGTGGGTGGAAGCCTCCCTCCAGAACTGAAGAGCTTTCGGTGTTGGGGTCGTTCCAGGTTTATGGTAACGCTGAAATATGGCATGGGTATGTGAAAAACCTCTTGTTGTTCTCATCTTTCTGGTTGTAATTTCTAAAGATAAACAGTACTCTGTTTTTTAGAAAGTATTGCTCCTGAGACACTGAAGTTGCTGAAGGTGAGGGGCTGCTTCCAGAGCCTGGTGAGGGAGAGGTGCAGTTGTGGGATTCCTGCTGCAGAGAAAACAGGGCCAGCTGAAGGGGATCAAGCCATGGCTCCATCCAGGGCAGTATCTTGTCTCTAATTATCAGCAGCAGTTGCCAAAGAACAGGACAAACATAAATGAATGTGGCCAGTTGTTCAGGCAATTCTTCAGCCACAAGCAATTTTTTGTTTAATAGCCCCAATGGATTATTATTAATTTATCTAATCACCTTTTGCAGCCATGTACTTTTGGCATAAACAACCTCCTGTAATGCTGAGTCCTGGGGTTTAACCGCAAGCTGTGTGGAAGAAGAACTCCTTCCATTTGGTTTGATGGTTCCTGTGGAGCTCCCCAGTTGAGATGAAGGCCATGAGCCTGTCACTTCAAAGGTTGCACTCAGGAGTCCTAAACGTTGTCAGCGATTACCATGAAACAGAAGGTAATACTAAACCAGCATTTACTTCTTCTAAGGTTCAGCATTAATTGACAGTTTACATCTCCTTCAGGGTTAAAACCAGTGAACTTTGAATGCTGTTCCCATAAAGTTTCCCTCGTTCAGCTCCACAGCTCCACTGCTGTACATTGTCCAATGATAATCCCTGGAGGTATCACTTTCTTTCACTCAGGATATCTGTTTCTCTGGAGAATTTCCACCAAGAAGTGGTGACTAATTCGATCATGAGGTGCGCATATGGTGACACCCCCTGCTGTGAACAAAAATAAGCTTTCCTTCACACAAAACTTGATTTTATCATCCCTCTCTCTCTCTCAAACCTCCCCTTCTTCACTCCCAGTGCAATCCTTTTCCTATTAGTGATTATTCTTTCTCCCTCTTGTTTCCAAAAAAGCCTTTGTCCATACTCCATGCTAGTGCCCACCTCCCTGCATAGAGGTCTTCCTCCGCTAATGCCACGGCTTCTTAAATCACTGATTAGAGCTGGTTTCACATCCCACACAGAGAGAGCTTCCATACTGCAGCGTGTCTTTCATTTAGAGTCTCCTTGACAAGTTTCCAGACAAGCCTGCTTGCTAATTGATGTGATTTGTGGTGGGACCAGCTACCAGCCGTGCTGGAGATTTCCTGAGGCTGGAGGCGCTGTCCTGCCAGCCTCCCTCTTGTGACTAATCCCTGTCATTACACACTCAGGGCAGCCACAGTTTACTCTCTGCGTTTATCTGACTTGAACAGGGAATGTAAAGCACCGTACTGCAGGTAGGCTCTGAATTTCACTCGTGGAAACCACGTCAAGACACCTCTTTGCATGGTCTTCTCCGTGTAGGAGTACGCAGTGACGTTTGCACTTGCAAAGCATCCAAACGCTTTGACTTGCCTGGGTTTGATGGTGTTATGAAAGGACTTTTATATTAAGAGAGTTGTGGCAAAAATTGGGGTTTTGCTGATCCCAGTATTCATCTGGGCTTGTTCTTCTGATGGCATTTCCGACTACTTCAGTGTGTTCTGAATTAGCTCTTGAAGTAGGAGTGACAGTCCATGAGGTAGGATGTAAACATCATATGGCTTCCTACTTCTCTGGAAGATATTCAGATACATAGGCATGGCATAAGAACAAAATAAAAATGTACTGATCAATCTCAATCCAGCCATCCTAAAGGCGTTCCTCGCGTGTTCTGCTGGATTTGCTCCACCAGTGGTTGTGGATTTCAAGTAATGTCATTATTGTAACAGCCCCAAAAAACTGGAATGAGTGTAAGTGGATGGTGCTGTACGTTGTTTCTACGCTTGCTATTCCAGAGGCCTTCCCTTAACCACTGAAGTGGGTATCTCCACAGGCAGGACAGTGTCTCAAAGAGGGGAGGAGTTACAATCACTGCGTTACTGATGGGAAGCTGGACCTCAGCCCTGTGACAAGTGTTGCAAAGTCCTTGGAGCACGCGTGACCTTCTCATGACGCCAAGATAAGGTAGGTGACAGCACCTGGTAGAGAGCCCCACTCTGTGAAATCCCTGTGAACTAGTTCATCCACAAGTGTCCTGTGAAATACCTGTATCTCAGAAAGCAGCAGTTACCTACAGCCCTGCCTCGGGTACAGCAGGGAGGGAGGAGAGGGCTCAGTTTAGGTCTCTCTTCTACAACCACATGGAGCCTGGGTGTGTCAGAATGGGAAGAAAGAAGAGCTCTGGTCCTGTGGCGGTGAACTTTGTACTGCAGAACAGGACTGCAGGCAGTAAACTATTATTTCTCTCAATTTTCATGGGGATTCAGTGGTAGAATCCAGATGGGATGTACTGGTTGGGAATCCATGATGCTTTGGAAGTGGTATAAACTGGAAGAAAGATGGGAGCTAATACTCTTCTACAAATATTCTGAAATGAAATTTAGGCTGCTCTAGCCACCAGCAGGTCAGCTAACCTTTCGTGTTCCTGGAGCTAAAATAGAGAAAGTGTTTCTGGTGTCAAGTTTTTATATCTAGTACTTTTGATTTCCTTCTTATTGATACTTGCTGACGGCAGCAGAACTGCAATTACATGTCAGCAGACATTATCTGCCAGAAGAGCTCTCCCATGGTCCAGCCCCAGTGAGAAATGAGGGAGCTATGCATAAACATAAAGAATTTATGGACAGTTTGAAAATCCTCATTATTAATCATTTCCACAATTGCAGTGTAACCAAAGGGCTGCAAGCATCTTCGTTTCAAAGTGAGTGAGTTAATCTACAATCTCCTTTTAAGTAGATTTCTGCTGTCCAGGTAATCTGGGGATTAATTCTGCAAATTTACATAGCGCTGACATGAAGGGGCTGCTTCTATAGAGAGCTGGGAGAAAGGAATACACTACTTTTCTTAGTTACCATTCTTCTCATAGGTTCCAAATTTGTTGGGTTTTGCCTTTTTTATGACTAAAAAGGGATGTTAAAATACCAATCTAGCTCATCATCAGTAAATACATCTGTGTTTCTTTTTTCTGCCAGATAAAAAGAGAATCACAGAATGGCTTGGGGTGGAAGGGACCTTAAAGTCCACCCAGGGCCACCCCCTGCCCTGGGCAGGGACACCTCCCACCAGCCCAGGTTGCTCCAAGCCCCCTCCAGCCTGGCCTTGAACCCCTCCAGGGATGGGGCAGCCACAGCTTCTCTGGGCAACCTGGGCCAGGCTCTCGACCCCCTCACAGCAAACAAGTTCTTCCCCACATCTCAGCTCAATCTCCCCTCTTTCAGTGTCAAACCCTTCCCCCTCCTCCTATGGCTCCCCCCCTGATCCAGAGTCCCTCCCCATCTCTCCTGGAGACGTTTTAGGGACTGGAAGGGGCTCTAAGGTCTCCCCGGAGCCTTCTCTTCTCCAGGCTGAACCCCCCAACTCTCTCAGCCTGTCCTCACAGCAGAGAGGCTCCAGCCCTCTCAGCATCTCTGTGGCCTCCTCTGGACCTGCTCCAACAGGTCCACGTCCTTCCTGTGCTGAGGAAGCTGAATCTTTCCTGGAGCTGCTGGGGGTGCAGCCTGGGATGGGCAGCACAGTAGTTATATGAGAACACGTATAGACAGCAGCTTTTAGCTCAAGAGTTTAGGATCTGCTGTAAATCAAGCAGTTGTGGGTTGTCTTTGCGTCGTGGAGCGGTAGCTTGATGTCAAATGGTGGCTCAAGTGTCATGGATTTAATGGGGCAAGTTAGGCCACCTGTACGTGCCATCACTCAATACAGCCCAGTGGCAAATGAGACACACAAACAAAGTGTCAGGAGGACATGCTGAGCTTCTTGGCTAATTGCTCACTTATTATCTGCATGGAAATCCTAAAGCTTCTAAACAAGAGCTTGGAGAAGTTCCACCCAACGTCCTTTTCTCTTGGAGCCTGTGATCTAATATTCAAATCAAGAGGATGTAATGACTGGGCTGGCCAGAACACCTGGGCTCCTGGGGTTCCTGGCATCTCTCTGGCTTATTTCCATTTGTGACAGTGGCAGGATTCTTCCTGGGCAGGTCACAAATCTCAGCCAGGAGTGCCACAGTTCTCCTGTGTGCTGACAGGTCACAGAGCCAGAGCTGTGTTTAATGATCCCATTTCCAGCTGTGGGAGGAATGAAGTCTCAGGAATTTCCCTGATATCCCTGACTCCCTGATAACCTCTTTCTTTTTTTTTTTCTATGCAGGCTTGCCTGAATCCCTCCTACCTTCTTCAGATGGTTTCAGCAAAGAGCACATCAAAGATGTAGACAAGTCTCTCATCAACTAAATACCAGCAGCCAGGTTATCTGAAGTCATTTTCGTTCTGCCTGCCACCGGGAAGAAAGTGCCTTCAGGGGTTCTCATTGTGTACCCCGAAAGTACACAGCTCTTGAGTAAACAGAGGCAAAATCAGCATCCCCCGTCCTCCTCACTGAAACCCTCTGTGTTCACAATAGCACCCCTGCTTTGATCTCTTGCCAAGAATAACACAGACAGTCTATTAAAATATCTTTAATAACATGATACAATTAAAAATATCTAACGTGCAACTCAAAGAAATGAATATGAAGCTTGTTTAAATCTGTTTCCACACCCCTCCAAACTTGACCGACGGGTTCCAAACCTTCATTAATTGGCCTGAAAATTTATGAATACCCCAATATTATGGGGGATGGGGGGTGTCCTATATATTAGTTGGGAGCAGAAGTAATTAATAACCAGATTTGAAAGGAGTTGGGTGCCACGGTAGCTTTAACAATCCTGCAAGGCACATCGCTGTGTCTGTGAGCATTTCAATTTCTTTTTAAAGTGGTCTGAAATGCGTAGGAGACACTCGTCCCTTGGGCTTTTAACAGCCTGTGTGTTTAAGTCTCTGAAGCAATTGGAGAAGCTTTAGTCAAAGGACAGTGTTAGTCTGAATCCATCCCTTTTCCCCTTCCCACAACTGCACGAGGAATTTGTACAGCATCTCATCTTTTAGGCAAGCAGAGCAGCCCAGAGGAGCTGGAACGACGGCCGAGTGCCAGAGGAGCCTGACTATTAGATTATAAAGTAACTCTGGTCACAATCTAATATGAAAGTCATTGGACTGACAATTAGGGAAGCTTCTGTTCCTGGGCCTGCTCTTGCCTAAAGGACAATATTAGCTGAGATTCTCCAGAGTCAGCGAGACAAGCAGTTCAGTGCAAACGAACCAACTGGGGAACTTCAGCCCAGCGTGCACCCGATTTTAGTAGATGTGAAATGAAATGTGTTAATTTAAGTCCTGGTTAAAGACTTTAAATTGGCAATTTTAACCCTGAGTTGCCAGGAGTCAGCTGAGAGGAACTCAGGTGCACCTCTGTCCCCTTTGTTTCTCCTTTGATGCTCTGTCATGGGGTCCAAGACCCTGTTGATCCTACATGTTGTAGGGTCCAAGACCAAAACCTACTGCTTTTGAAGGACTCTCGGTCAGCCAGAGCGTTTGCTGGAAGGGGCGCATGGATACTGCTGCTGAGGTGGAAGAACAGCCAGATCAGTAGTAGCTGGCAGAAAATACCTCCTTTCTTCCCTAGAACACGGGAAGTTGTTGACTGTTATATTCTGATTATATTTTAATACTGTTCCAGTCTTCACTAGTGGCGATACTGTAGGTATCGTCCCTCTTGTGGGCACAGAAGAGGACAGAGCACCTTTTCCAGACACCACCTCTCTTGGTTAGACAGCATTATTCAATATTAGCTTTACAATAGCTCAGGGCCTGCCTGCTCAGAGGCATCGTTTCATTAGGCTGACATGAGTAATCTCAGCTGCAGCCTAAGCAAGATCTGCACAGGCTGTTCTCGTGGACATTTGAACGTTTGCTTGCCATCCAGCGGGAAGCACAGGCCTCCTGCCAAGGATCCGTTGTCTCCAAGGACGGTAGTGCAAGTGTTAGTGAGTTGAAATAAGGTACCAAGGCTCCGGGAGTCCTGCAGGAAAATCACATCCATCTTCCAGTGACTTACACCCGTGTGATTTCTGTCTGTACCCTCTTACTCTGGCAAGAGCATCGAGTCCCAGAATGACGGTCAGTTGTCATCGAAAACACTGCTGTTCCTGTTACTCAGGCTGTTCTCCTTCACCATCACCCGGTACGAGATGCGCATGAAAGAGCCGGTGAGCAGCGTGACAAAGAGGATGAGGAGCAAAGACCAGACCCCTGGTTCAATGCCCTTGAGGAAGCTTGGGCTGTCCAGGGGGATGGTGTTGGTGAGGCTGAGCAGGTACCCAAGAGTCCAGCCAGACGATGTATCACCCATCTATTGAAATCCAAAGGAGGAGAGGTCAGAAGAGAAGGAGACAGCCTGACCCCCAGCTGTGTTTCTGTGCCCGAGGCCTTGTATTCTTTATTTGAGATTGAGCCAAGGATTAGGCTCAAAATGAGGAGCTCTCCCACTATCAGTTCCCTGAGTGCACTAATAGACCTTAATTGTCCTGACAAGTCTCACCTGGCACTTCCACCCACCCTCTCTGCCCATGGGCCTGGGAGCTCCATTCAAGGCCTGGCTTGGGCAGTCACCTCTTTCCTGAGCTGTGCTGTAGGTATGTGCTGTTCTTTCTCCAGCTGACTGGCTCTGTCCCCAGATAAGACCTTAGGTTTATGTTGTGGGTGCTTCTGTCTCTGGCCCTGTTGTCTGGTTGAACCTCAGACCTGTGTTGCAGGTAGCTTGTCTCTGGCTTTCCAGAGTGGACTCCCTGGATGGACCCTGGACCTGCCTCGTTACCTCACCTTGGTCTGATCATCACCAGACGTGGCTGACTGAACCACTGTCACTGATGTGACCCTGTTCCAGGACATCACCTTGCTGGTGAGCTGGAAGAGGTCTGGAAACAGGCTTTCCCTTCTTTTGTGAAGGGGGAGGACTTGAATCAATTCCTCCTTTCCTTAGGGGCTGCAGATCCTGAAGCAATTTCAGGCCTTACAAGCCCGTTATAAACCCTCACTAGTGTACAGGTGATTGCAGAGAGGGAGGGCAGCATCTTTTGGCTCAGGAAGTATTATCAGCAGTTTGTCATTAGCATTAAGTGCATTATCATCGAGCCATACTTCCTTCCCTATTGGGCACGGACTCTTAAAGATGGCATTGCTTCAGATGAAGTTTTGACCCATCTCTTTTTTCAGTGGGGCCAAGTGGGATCTCTAGCTCTCTGACACTGGTTTTCTTGCTTATCACAATTGTGAATTTATTTTGCAAAAACATATTGCTGGAGAAACCTAGCTGGGGAGGGCTTGTAGGAGTGGAGATGGGCTGGCGTTCCTGAAACCAGCTCTCCCTTCTAACTGGAAATACCACTGACCTTCTTCTGGAACGCAGTCCAAACGGACCCACCGAAGTCAAGGGTGTATCCCTTCGTACTGAGGTGAAAGATGAAGGCAGACACAAGGCAGTAATCAGCAAGTGTATCCAGGCTTCTTTGGGACTCCTTGACCAGCTGGTACCATTTCCAAAAGAAGATTGGGGGGGGAAAAAATAAAAGGAGTAAATATTCAACAGCTGAATTTCAGGTCTGCTATGACCTTTCCTCTCCTGCTCTGGGGCTGACTGTGGGACTGGAGGAGGGGGCTGTGTCCTGTGCAGGCTGAATCCGTGTTTCCTGCACCCACTGGGCTGTAGTCTGGGAACCAGTGTCATCTCTTAGTGCCTCTGTCCCCATCTCATCAGAGACCAGGCAGTTCCAGGCTGGCAGCCAGGTCTCTTCCAGGTGAGCTGCTTAGTATGATTCTCTGCTCTCTAATTAGGCTGAGCTAATAATGCCGTAGCCTTTCTCTCAGTAGGAGCACTAACAAGATCTTTCTCTTCTATCCAGAAGGGAAGGCTTTAGGGAACAGCTCATGGGCTTTGCTGCCCCATCAGCAAACCCTGTAGAAACTGTCCAATTGGAATGTTGCTGTGGATGCTCGGTCAGTGTAGGTACAAATAAGGGTGACCTCACAAGCCACTAACTGAGGGAAAGAACTTAAATTTCCCCAGGTTTGGTGTCTGTGAGCCCAGGTGACGTGGGAAAGCCCCTGGAGTCTGAGTGGATGCCTTCCTTGCATCAAAGGGGAGGAGGATACAGGAAGCCCAAGGTGATGCTCAGGAGGGAGCAGACAGCTTTCCTGTTTACTCCTTAATATGCAGTAAACAGTACTTGTGGCTTTTCATTTAATTAAGTCCAGGTGTTACCAGCCACAGCTGGGATTTGAGAGGAAGGAAAATAAGTGAAGCCTGTTTCCTCCAAGTAAAAAAAACCCAACAAAAACACCAAAAAAAAACCCCAAACAGGCAAATCCAATTTTTCCCCTAAGGGAGACAGTAACTTATGGCTCTGTCAGTCTGAGCCACATGGGCTTATACAATGGACTGTTCCTTGCTTCCCTCTCTCCCTGCACACTAAGTTATTCCACAGTTACCTCTTTGATGGACATTCCGCAAAGCCTTTTGACTGCCTGACCCAAGTCAGGAGAGGGTACAGTTTCTCTCAGGAAGTCCATGGCCTCGGAAATCACCTACAACAGGAACAGAAATGATCATCAGGTTGGACTGCGCTCTGTGTCTTTGCATTGTGTATGGTGCCTGTAGGAAACTCAGTGGCTGTGGGGGCACGTTGCCAGGGTGCCCTGTCTGTGTGCGTGTGGTGGTGGTTACAGGGCTTCCAGTGGGTGCAAACTGGGCTGTTTCTAGCTTGCATGCAGCAGCCTTCTTTGCCTTGCCTGGCTAATTAGGCAGGAGCTTATGGTCCTTGGGACCCTGTCCATGGGAGGCTCTCAGGAACAGGGAGCTGGGGAGATTTCTCCAATTCCTCCCTCTACGCTCATTTTTTCCTAGGATCTTAAGCTGGTCCTGGCTTAACAACCAAAGTTGTTACTTTGGACACTAGATTCGGGATCTCAGATCTAAGTAGGCTTGTGGTGGAGCATGCCCAGATGTTTGCTAAGGGAGTGGTAGAGGATCTTCGGCTTCACCACAGACTTTGTTTGGGAAAACCTGCTCAAAACACAACTCTTGATTGCCCTAAACTGGCTCATGTGAGCTCCCTTATAGCTCTGTGGAACCCCAAAGCTTGTCTCACAAGCAGATGTTGCTGGGACATGGATGAATAAAGCCCGACCAGAGTCACTGGTGGGAAGCTGTGGTCCATGTTTGGACAGCTTTGTGTCAATGAGGGGGACAGGACAAGACACACATGTACAGCATTAGCCAGAGCACTGGCCCTCTCGGCTAGCAAAGAGCAGAACATATTAATGACCAAACTGGTCCCATTTCATGGATTTTCCATATCAGTTGCCTACCCCAGTGTAAATGAGAACCCACCAGAAACCTGGTCCGGAGGGGCTTGAAAGCATTGCTGGGGGCACGCGTGAGGAAGCTGCAGGAAGAGGAAGAGTTGAGCAGGTTTTGCACAAGTCTCATGCAGGCGGTGGCATTGCTGGAGCCGGTGATGTTGAAGACCTCCTCAGGACCAGGGATGTCCCATGTGTCACCACTGACAGCACAAGGCCCAGCATGCACCGATTGCCACTGCACTTCCCGGGAGTAGGAGAGGGGCCAGCAGGGATTGGACACGGTTTTAGCTTTTCTCTGATCCTAGAGAAGCAGAATGAAACAGAGACAGCAAAACAGGACGTTGGCATCCCAGGGCTTCACAATGGAAGGCAAAATGTAACACAGCAAAGAACAGTTTTCTTCTGGCACCACAATGTTGTAATTAAGCCCTCAGGCTGCAAGAGATTTGCCAAACCTTATCCCAACTAGTCAACTGCAAGAGTGATGCAGCAGGATCCCAGCTCCTGCAAAGTTCAGGGCAAGCTGCGATGCCTGGACCTGCTGTGGGAGGCTGAGGAGTCAGAATTGCAGAATGCTATGGGGTTGGAAGGGACCTCTGGAGATCATCCAGTCCAACCCCCTGCCAGACCAGAGTCACCCAGAGCAAGGTCCCACAAGAAAGTGTCCAGGCGGGTTTTGAATATCTCCACAGACAGAGACTCCACCACCTCTCTGGGCAGCCTCTTCCCGGGCTCTGCCACCCTCACAGCAAAGAAGTTCCTTCTCATATTGGGGTGGAACTTCCCGTGTTCAAGTTTGTGGCTGTTACCCCTTGTCCTGTCCCTGGGCACCACTGAAAAAAGCCTGGCCCCATCCTCCTGACACCCACCCTTTAAGTATTTATAGGCGTTGATAAGATCCTCCCTCAGTCTTCTCTTCTCCAGACTTACCAGAATCAAGTCCCTCAGCCTTTCCTCATCAGAGAGATGTTCTAGTTCCCTCATCATCTTCATAGCCCTCTGCTGTCCCCTCTCCAGCAGTTCCCTGTCCTTCTTGAGCTGGGGAGCCCAGAACTGGACCCAGTGCTCCAGCTGTGGCCTCACCAGGGCAGAGTAAAGGGGGAGGGTGACCTCCCTCGACCTTCTGGCCCTGTCCAGAGTCCCAGCCCTATCTGCTCTTCCTTCTATCCAGAGTCCTGGCCCTATCCAGAGTCCCAGCCCTATCTGCTCTTCCTTAGCCAGAAATAAGATTTCAATGAATCCTGTCCTCTTTCTAGTTGCAAGAAAGAGACTGTTCCTGTCTGCCTTCCAAATGGCTTATCCCTGCAAGCATTAGTTTTTCATCTCTTGGGATTCCCCAATATAATTGTGAAGTGGGTCTCCATGTGGTACATTCAGGTATCTAATAAGGGGAGGTGTGATTAATAGGGAGGTGAGAGGATGGGCAGTGAGTAGTTGTTTATTTCTGAAAAATTCAGTTTTGGTGGAGACTAAAATGATTCCTAAGTTTGCATCAGATCCTGTCACCTCCCCCTCAAATGAAACAAAGTTTGGAAGAACCAAAAGACCTGCATATTTTCAAAATTAAATATTGTTCTTCTAAAGACTGCTTCAGGATTTAAGTTAGCAAAAGACACAAACACCTCAAATGGAAGGTCCCAGTTGGTTCCTGGGTGCTGCTGTTTAGGCTCCCCTCTAGGATGGAGGAGCTGTTCAGAGGAGCCAAGGGAAATCTTTGTCTCTCTCCACCCTGATGGTGATCTTAGCACCTCTGGAGGAGAGCAGTTTTGGTCTTGTGTCTATTAAGGAGCCAAACAGAGCCTACAGTAGGAAACTCTTGTATGGGTGCCCATGTGTCTGCATGGAGGGCATCGATTTGGGTATAGAGAGTATGTTTTGCAAATGCACTGAGCTTTTTTAGATATATGCAAATGCCCTCTATTAAAGACAGTGACATTTTCCCCACGAGCAGCTATCCCTTGGTGTGACTCATTTAGTGATGTTGTCTCCAGAAACCTTGCAAATGCCCTTTTGGCAGAAACTCACCTGAATGAGCGTAGAGAGCAGGCTGCTGCGGAGCTGGTCGGTGCCGTGGCAGGGGCAGTGGCGAGTGTGCACGTTGTGTGTCTGCCCATACAGCTGCAGCCTCACTCCTTTCGCTGCCTGGTTCTCTTCTTCCACCTCGGAGGTGAGCCATGCTGAGGTTCTTCCCATGGACAGGACTCCTGCCATCTCCTTCCCAGAGGGGACCAACTGTCCCCGCCAGTCATACTGAGCCAAAAAGAACCAGAGAGGTCAGTTCTTAAGACTTCTACATCTGGGTCGTGGTCAGGTGCAAGAATTATTGCACAGAGAGAAGGCAGCTTTCTGGAGAGGAGAATTCATGTTACTTTGCATATATGTCACGATACAAATCTTAATAGTAAATCAATCTTAATTACTGGTTTAAGCTTTGAGTGTAGCAATGATGTTGGAACACAGACCCACAGTTAATTTTACATTAACTAAAGAGAGGATTTCCTTACAATTTATGCATGCAGAGCACTGACTGGATATTTTGCATATTTTTCCAGTTTCACACTGTGAGTACTTCTGCAGGAAAAAGAAACAGCACAACTTTTTTCTTTTTTTTCCCCACAGGACATAAGGATGCTGAACTGGTGGCTTTGAAAGGAACAGAGGAGCTGTTGTACAAGTACCTCTGCACAGAACATGCCCCACAACCAGCAAGAGCAAACAGGGCCCCCCACCCTGGATGGCTGTTGAAGGCACTGGTCTCGGCAGGTAAGAGCAGGGGAGAGAGGAGAGTGGTGGGGAAATGGGAGGGAGGTTTCCAGGTGGGCAGATATGGGCTTTAAGTGCTGCCTTGATGCTGAAGTGATCCTTCTGTCAGAAGAACCCTGTGGTTTCATCTTCTGCAGTCTTGCAGAACTGATTCTGGCAATGCTGGAGTTAGCAGTAGAAAGCTTACTGGGGTGCAAGCTCTCTGTCCCTGGCTGGGGAAAGCTGTGCTGCTGCCAGCAGGGTAGCAACTCCCCAACCAGTGCGTGCTTGCTGCTGATTATCAGAACTGCCTTTCCATTTCACTGATGTGGAATAACTCAGTCTAAACCACCTTTCTCCCACCCCTTGAGTTCTTCTTGAGGCCCTTTGGCTCGAGAAGCCATGGGTAGCGCAAGGAAATGTCAATGTATTTGTTTTGTTTAGCAAGTGCCTTCTGAATACAGACCAGGCCCCTGTGCTGGGGATATACACCCAGCTATACTCTTGCTAGTGTCTCAATGAAAGGAAATTTGATGGGCTTTTGTTTTGGCAGCAAAAAACCTTGCTTCCCTGTCCACCATCCACAGGGTGTCCCCTGGGACAGCTGGACTGCAGTGGCAATCCCCCAGCATTGCACAGAGATAGCAGCAACCCCTCTTTGACAGGGGTGCTGAGTGAGAGCTGCAGGGACTCGGGGCAGTGAAGTTCTTGTTGACACCCCAGGCCAGGCTCTGTAAGGTTATAGAATAGAATCATGGAATCACCTGGGCTGGAAGGGACCTTTCAGATCATCAAGGCCAACCATCAACCCAACACTAACAAAGCCACCACTAACTCATGTCCCTCAGCACCACGTCTGCCTGGCTTTTAAACACCACCACTGCCCTGGGCAGCCTGTTCCAATGTTTGATAACCCTTTTGGTGAAGCGGTGCTGAGCTAGAGCTGCAGGGTCTCAGGGCAGTGGAGTTCTCACTGACATCCCAGGGCCAGGCTCTGTAAGGTTACCTCTGGGAGCATCCCAGATGTGCTGCCCAGAAAGCCTCACATCTGTTAGGGCAACTGCATGGACATCTCCATGAAAGGCAGTATTAGAGGTTTGATCCTTCAGTATAGTTTTAACCATCTTACATTATGTCCCCTAGAGCTGGTGTTGGATCTAACCTGCCTTCTCTAAAAGACAGCGGAAGCTGTGCTTAAGCACTGTTTAAAGTACAGGGTTTTAACCATCCCTCCACATGTTTTTGTGGCTGTTTACTAATGAGAGTTGTGCTCAGCTCAGTTCTGTACCCCCCAGGCAGGATTGTCCTTTACCTTGAAGAAGTTCTCCAGGACATAGTTAACAGCAACCCAATTGAATGCTTCTTTGTCTGGACTGGACAGGATTTGTGCCCTCTGAAAGTTAAAGGGGGATGACTTCAGGGCCACAGTCAGGGCTGCAAGGAAGCTGTCGGCGAGGGTGGGATGCGTGAGGCTAAACAGAAAAGAAAAAGAAGGCACGTTCACTGTTACAGCCCCTGCAGGGCTTGCTGCTGTGCTCCCCACTTTAGATAGCAACACAAAGACACAATGACAATCCCACTCCTGCGCTACTTCCCTCTCCCCTCACATGACATTGAGGACAACAACAGCAGAGAGATCATTTGAGCAGTTGTGCCACCATTCAAGAATTTGGGAGTTCAGTACCTTCAGCCACTGAGGGATCCTTAGACACCTTTTCCCCGGTGTCTAAAAGGAGATAAAGGTCCCAATAATGAGCTGACAGAGAACAGGGTCCACCAAAGTGTGTATGATAAGGTGGATCTTCCCACCATTGCTCCCAACCTGCTGCCAAGAAGCACTCCCAGCACGGCCATCTGGGTTGTCGTGTAAACTGAAAACACTTCAGCTTCCACACTGATGGATGTTTTCCCAAGAACTAATTGTGAAGGAGACTTTACACAGACCAGTAGCAGTGGCAAGACTGTCCTCATGGCTGCTTGGAGGGGACAGTATGGAGACACAGCCATGCCGTATTCCCCTCGAGTGTGTGGGCACCTGCAGAAGGTTTACCTGACTAGCAGCTTAGGGGTAAAACACACTGCAGAGCAGACAAGGTGAGATGCATTTATGGAATGATCCACGTGCTGTGCTGATCTCTGGGTGTGGGTTTGCAACATTCACTCACTTCAGCTGCCCCGTGCTGGCGGTTGCTCCCAGGTAGAGGGGGGTTTGGCTGTGCTGCTCTGCAGGGATCTCTTCCTGGGCCCAGTTCAAACATTGCATCAAGCTCTTTGCTACTTTCTGAGGAGACTCTGGGTAGTTGGAGATTCCCAGACCTGAGGATCAGAAGAAAGAATGACATTTTCTAGGGGAAGACATGGGAGAAGTGTGAGAGCTGTTACCCAAGAGGTTGCTGTCTTAGGGCATGATTAAAGACAGGACCTGTCACAGGCAGAATGAAGGAGTTCCTCCAGAGAGCCATCCTGCTAAAATATGATACAGGGAGCAAAATGGTACGTGCGTGTAAATGGCACAAAGAGAACCCAAGCTCTGCTGCTGAGCCATCCTGTAAATGACCACGTTGTCAGCTGGTGCTCTCTCAGCCTGCAGAGGAAAAAATGTGGCTTTAGCCACTATAAAAAGATAAGCAAAAAGACACCCTGCCATGCAGATAGAGCTGAGGCTGATGCGTCAGCACTCTCCACTTCCTCTTGTGTTGGTGGAGGTGGCTTCTGAGCCTCGTGCCTGCAAGCCTCTGCTCCAGAGGAAGCTGGTGCTGTGCAGAGAGCACGCCTTGACTCATCTGTCCAGCAAGATTCATTGGGGTCTGAAAGGCTGGTTTTGAACTGCTGCCCAGAAAGAGCCACACTTCCCCATCCTCTGCTCCCTTCCCTTCCTGGCTGTGCGACTCCCTCACCGTGTGCTTTGCTCTCCCGGGCCCAGCATAGGGCTGAGCTTGTCCTACGGCCCCTCAAAGGCTGTGACCAGGCTGCCAAGGACCACTACTCACATCTAGGAGAGACACAGCTATGGTTGCTGTTTTTAAACCAGCCAGTGAACATGGTGGCAGTGAAGGGACACATATAATAAGGTTTTAGGGAGCCCTTATGGCATCTTTTATATGTGGTTTGTGTTGCTTACAGTCTGGAAGGGCACAAACCCTCTTCTCTGCTGCTTGTGCAGCTGCCCTCCCCCAGCTCACTGCTACCGAGAGTTCAGGGTTTCCCAGTATCCTGCTGCAATCGGGCTTCAACATCAAAGCAAGATGGAGAGATAGGGAAGGAAAACCCCAAGCCTTAATGCATGAAACCCTTTCAGCTGCTTCTAACAAGGACAAACTGATTCAAACTAGTGAGGAAGACCCCAATATTCTGCAAAACGTGACATCTAAAACCAAACTGAACTCATGCTGGTGCATGTGGGGTTGGAATCTTCTCTGGTGTAGCTCCTCCCTGGAGCTGCACTACTTCCTGCCCAGAGTACAGGAGGAGACAGAGATACCAGAAGTCACCCTGCAGCCAGATTTGTCTCTGTTCCCCATCTCTTCTGGGTGAGAAGCTCTGCCACCGATCCACATGGACATCAGCCCCAGCCCCTCTGTGGGCTTCCCTGCCTACAGGAGGCCAAAAATAATGTCCCCTGGAACTGTGGAGTGCTCTGATGTCCAGCTGTGTAGGGCTAAATCTGCCCGCGTCAAGAAGAACCAAGCTGAAAATAGACAGCCTGGGCTTCATGGTCACCACTATTCCAGCGTACAGCTAGATGGTCCAGGAGCCAAGGAAATTGCAGCAATGGTCCATGCACAGATCTCTAGGTTTCCATCCATCCCATGCCAGCCCCACAGACCATGAATCAGGCACCTTACCTTGTATGGGACAGGAACTGCATTCCCTGATCACCCCGGTCTTATTTGCCTTGATGGTGGTCCACTGGTAGATGAACAGGATGGTGCGGGATGGGCCAGCATCCAGGACAATGCCATACTGGAAGAAAACCCCAAAACGTTCTAGATAAACACCACTTTGTTATTGTAGGGTCACTCAGCCTTATGTAGGTACCACGGGTGAGCCCGGAGCCTGCACTGCAATATTTGAGTTGGCTTTTTCCCTTCAAAGAAGGGGTAAAAGCAGAGAATGATGTGGATTCTCAGGGAACCATCTGCATTTCTGAATATACATGAGGAGCAGTAGGAGTGGAGAAACACCCAGAAACACGTCAGCCCTGCAGTGGCACGCTCTGTAGCTCTTCCTGCAACCAAGCAGAGGGCTCCCACTGAGAGCTGAGCCTGAGCTGCCTTGGAGCTCAGGAAAAACAGGTCCTAAAGCAGTGGGAGATGGCACTACGCAGGCTCTCGGCTGATTCTGGGACTCGAACTGCTGCTGCTGGATTGGTTTGTTGAAGAGATAAGGGGTTTGTGCAGGAATTGGTGCTCTGTGGCTTCTGAGGAAGCCGAGACTCCCACTCTGCCCTGCTGCAGAGGTGGTGTGACACGGGCTGGGTTTGCCCCGATGCCTGTCAGACCTGTGGGAGCTGCAGCGTGCTGGGACCAGCCAGCACCTTCACTGTCCAACACACCAGCCCTGGTCACGAGGTTACGTCTTGGCAGAAACAGCAGCAGCAAACACGAGATTTCTCAACACCTGGTCCACTGACAGTTCTCCTCCTGCCCAGCGGTGAGGCCGAGGGCTTTCTTGGTCTCTTTGCAGCCCCCAGCGCCTGCTCTATTTGCTGCTGACTGAGCCTCGCTGAGCTGCACCTCAAATGTGAGGTTAGGAAATGAGAGGGCACTGGGGTACCTGCAGCACAGCTCTGTGCTTGGTTTGGATGTCTCCACACTCAAAATAGCCCCAGTGCTAGCCCCTAGGGTATCCTCCTCCTCCCCGATGGAGCCCCTCTGCTGTGGGGACAGGCTGAGAGAGTTGGGGGGTTCAGCCTGGAGAAGAGAAGGCTCCGGGGAGACCTTAGAGCCCCTTCCAGTCCCTACAGGCGCTCGAGGAGAGATGGGGAGGAACTCGGGATCAGGGAGGGGAGTGATGGGATGAGGGGGAAGGGGTTTAAACTGGAAGAAGGGAGATTGAGATGAGATCTCAGGAAGAAATTTTTCACTCGCAGGGTGGTGAGAGCCTGGCCCAGGTTGGCCAGAGAAGCTGTGGCTGCCCCATCCCTGGAGGGGGTCAAGGCCAGGTTGGAGGGGGCTTGGAGCAACCTGGTGTGGTGGGAGGTGTCCCTGCCCAGGGCAGGGGGTGGGACTGGATGATCTTTAAGGTCCCTTCCCACTCAAACCATTCTATGGTTCTGTTACCTGACCTCAAACTGGGACATCTCCTACACAGACGGGAAGGAAACTCGAAATCTGGGAGGTACATGGTGGTGCGTGGTCTAAGCTGTATCTTAGAAATAGTGGTAGCTGTGACTGAGTGGGAGGAGAAACCTCCTGAGAGGTTGATGTTAACACCCTCAAAAAGGTTTTAGCACAAGACAGAGCCTGGCTGCAGCCTCCCAGCGAATCTGGCTGCCTGCTGCCTTCCTGGGCGCTCCCAGCTTCACCAGACACAGCGCCCGGGCCAGGAGCTGGTGGGACTGGAGCTGGAGCAGAAATGCAGAAGGAGAATGGAACTCCCTGCCCGAGCCTGCTGGCACCCTCCCACAGGAGTGACAGCTCGTATTTCTCACAGGGACATGTCGGCTGCCGCAGAAGAGGAAGAAATGAATGGTATTGGTGGAGAAACCTGGATATTTTTTTTTCCTCCTCCACAAAATGAGGAGCGCAAGGGAGGAGAAGGGATCACCGCATTTCTGCCCCAGCTCAGCACCAGGGAAGGGCAGAGTATGAAGCAATAAGAGGTTTTTTTGATTCAGTTCTGTTTCTGAGAGGAGTGTGGCGGAGGGGTGGTGTCTCTAAATGCACAGGTTAACCTGCTTCCATTATACCACAACGTGCCACTGATGCCACCTCAGCAGTGTGTGTGCAAGAGGCAGAGCAGATAGGCATTAACCCCCTGGTCACCAGGCAGATCTGACCCCGCTGCGTAGAGCAGGTTGGCTCTTTGGTTCGAATCAAGAGAAAACAGAAGAGGAGAAGGCATGGAAGATAGAAGCAGAAGTTCATGGCCAAATTTCTCCTGACTTTCAAGAAGGACCTAGCTCTTTCCCTCCACAGACGCCACTCTGGGGCACCCCCATGGTACCTTCTCCTCAGCCTGTGGTGAGCATCTCTGCTGGATGACATCCAGTCTGTATTTCCCTGCCCAGCCAAAAGGCTTGGCTTGTTTTCAGCTCAAAAAGCTTCAGCGTGTTGAAGGATACAGAATCACAGAATCATCTAGGCTGGAAGAGACCCTCGGGATCATCGAGTCCAACCATCTACCCTACTCTGAAGTTCTCCCCTACACCATATCCCCCAACACCACATCTAAATGGTCCTTAAACACAGCCAGGGATGGTGACTCAACCATCTCCCTGGGTGGGGAATACAAACCCATTCCTCACAGTCTTGCTCGAGTCCCTTCCTCAGCTTGTTGTTTCGGGCTAGTAACTAACTCAGTAGCTCAATGGATGTAAAAAGCAACAAAACACACCAGGTTTCAGTTGAAATGCCCGGTTTGCACAAGGAAACAGGCAGGTTCTCCTTAAGAGGCAGCCCCACAGATGAGGAGAAGGTCCTCTGCTTATTGCCCCACTTGACCCCCAGCTCAGCCACCCCTCGGGGATGCCCTTACCTTGGTCCGGAGAGGGGCGACGGGCACATCCTTAGTGGAGACGCAGAGGAGCACGATGCCCGTCAGTCCCGCTACGATCACCAGCCAGGGGGGAAGGAGCTCACGCCAAGACATGAAGCACCTTCTCCTTTCGCAAAGAGTCAAAAGAGGAAGCAGCAGAGCAGCAAACTGGCAGCGGCGGCTTTTTATAACTTTTAAAAAAGAGGAGAGAGGCGGGGCCGGGGCCAGGCTTTTGACTTCAGCCCAGCCCCAAGCCACAGGGACCACAAGGAACGCGTGGGCCCGGCTGCGATGCGTCAGGGGCTTCTCCCTTCCTTTGCTCCACGCAGGAAAGAAAACGACGGCTTCGTGCCCGTTCCAGTGCTTTGCAAAGGCAGCCGTGCAACCTCGAAACTGCCCCAGGCGACGGGGCTTGAGGTAAACAGAAATGTGGGGTTAGCTCAGCTGTGTAATAAGCAGAAAGCAGGCAAAACTCATGCCTTTGGTATGCTGCACAGGGAAACACCAAATGGCTTGTCGCTGGGTTTACCTTATGTCTGCAGGCTCCAGGGTGGACCTGGGGTGTTTCCCTCAAGCACGTGTCCATCGGGTTGGGGCAGAACGTGGTTGTTCTGCCCGGTTCCTTCAGACTCCTCCCGCCTCCTCATTCACTCTCAGGTGGCACCTGGGACAGGAGAATGTCTGCACGGTTGAGTTTCCACCTGCAAGAGACTCAGGCTGCTTTGGTCTTTGCTGTGGGGCAGGAGATGGCAGGGGCTGCTTGGGTCTTTTCTCCCAAGAAGGCCAGAGTCAGTGGAGGGGCTTATATTCCCCTTCCCAACAGCCTCCCCATGAAAGAGAACCAACCCCCAGGCTTTACAGAACAGGCACCCCCTTTCTTCTTTCTGGTGCCACAAAGACACATCCCCAAAACCAGAATTTTAGAAGAAAAATGAGTTAGTCCCAGGAGAGGTGCTTCTTTCAGGCTGTCCCCATCTGCCTCCTGGTGACTGGCTCTAGGAATAAAAGTGCAACTTCTTTAAAGATATATTTTTCTTTGTGTGAGCTGGACCATCTCTTGGCAGGGCCATTTTGTCCCCACCAGAGGACTTCACCAGCCATGCCTCTGCAGAGCTAAAGGAATGACACCTTCTTGGTCTTGTGGGGGTATCTGTTGACACGTCTCTCTGTCTTAGAATTTTTTTAAGCAAAGTGCCAGAATTCCCTCATCTTCCTGCAGAGTTTAGACTCCAGATTTTCCTGGTCAGCATCAAGAATGTGTCTGCAGATGTCCTGTAGTGACAGGACAAGTTCAGATTTTCCTGGGCAGCAACAAGAATGTGTCTGCAGATGTCCTGTAGTGACAGGACAAGGGGCAGGGGTTTTAAACTCAAAGAGGGGAGATTTAGATTGGACATGAGGGTCTTAGGATGAGGATGGTGAGAGCCTGGCCCAGGTTGCCCAGAGAAGCTGTGGCTGCCCCATCCCTGGAGGGGTTCAAGGCCAGGTTGGAGGGGGCTTGGAGCAACCTGGTGTGGGGGAGGTGTCCCTGCCCAGGGCAGGGGGTGGCACTGGATGGTCTTTAAGGTCTCTTCCAACTTGAACCATTCATGGACTTTAAGGTCTCTTCCAACTTGAACCATTCCATGATTCTTTGTTTTGCTTAAACTTGGGCTGACAGTGCTCTGCTTTGCATTAATGTTGTCGGAGTGCTGACAATCCTCCTTGTCCCTGCTCTCGTGCCTGCCCCAGGGGACAGGTAGGCTTTCAGGTGCTTTCCTGGGAATGATTTGTACAGCCTTCATCTTGCTGCAGCGCTTCAAACAAAACAGGAGCCCCAGGCATCCTCCTGGCTCAAAGAAATACTGGGCATGGGATGGGTGGAGTGGCTGATGGTTGGCTGATGGCTTATGCCCGTGAGCTGGTACCGGTAGTTCATACCAATATCGTGATATATCATCAGCACCTAAGGATATCCAGCAGCTACCCAGGAGCTGCCAGATCCTGCCGTGGTCAGGCTGGTCCTGCTTTGACCCACCAGCAGAGCAGCGTCCACTTTGAGCTGTGTGGGGGTTGCTTTTCCAGCCAGGACACAGAGAGGGAAAATGAGGGACCTGGGAACAGCAGAGTGCTTTCATTCTGCCATCTGGATGTAAGGGCTGGGAACGGCAGAGTGCTTTCATTCTGCCATCTGGATGTTGGGGTTCACAGGGGTCTGTTGACAGACTCAAGTGGTTTGGGGGGACTCTAAATAATGTAGGTTTTGCTACAGTTTGCTATAGTTGTACTGACTGTTGGGCAGGAGCCAAAGGGGTTTCTGCGATGGGTTGGCCTGATGCAGCTCTACACAGTCCTGGTGCCCAGCTGCAGAGCTCATGAAGGACAAATTGGGATGTTTTTTCCCCCCACTCTGTAGCAGCTCTCCTGAAAGTCCGAGCCTGCCAAGGTCAAACCGCGAATGGGGAAAGGCCACTTCTCCTTTGTGAAGCTGTTTCTGGTTGTGTTTCTTGTTTTCATCGCTGTCTGCCAGGGATCAGCCAAGTGCAAGGGACTCCTCACACACCCACAGGAATCCCACAGAATGCTATGGGGTTGGAAGGGACCTCTGGAGATCACCCAGTCCAACCCCCTGCCAGAGCAGGGCCACCCAGAGCAGGTTGTACAGGAACGTGTCCAGGCAGGTTTGGAATGTCTCCAGAGGAAATTCCACCACCTCTCTGGGCAGCCTCTTCCAGGGCTCTGCCACCCTCACAGGAAAGAAGGTTTTCTCCAGCTTGTGCCTGTTGTCCCTTGTCCTGTCACCAGGCACCACTGAGAAGAGTCTGGCCCCATCTTCTTGACGCCCACCCTTTAGATATTGATAAGCATTGATGAGATCCCCTCTTGGTCTTCTCTTCTCCAGGCTGAACCCAAGTTCTCCAGGAACCCTGACATCGAATCATAGACACCTTGTGGGAAAGTGACGGGAGATTGGTGAGGAGGACTGTAAATATACTCAAGTGACTTGCATGTGCTGGAAAACGCATCTCTCACACTAATTGTTGCTTAGTTTTGTGTGCTCAACAAGTGGAACATCTGCACTTAGATAACAACATAGTCCTGGGATGGACTCAAGGGCACCTTATCAAACACACCTGAGATTCTTGCCCTGCTTTTGAAGAGATCAAAGCACAGCAGAAAACTCTGCCTGACAGAATCCTTGAAATACAGGCCCAAACAGCAAGTGGGAGCTCCCTCGCTCCCTCACTCCCTCGCTAACGAGGACTCTCGTGCTAATAAGGACTCTCACTCTGTGGGGCCTGCGTCCCCTGCTCGCCTGCCTCTGCCCGGGGGCTGCTTCAGAGGTTCCCCGATCCATGAGGTATTAAGATTAAATTTGTTCTTTGCCCTTAATCCATGGTTTTGTGGTTGTTCCTGCGTCCTGCCTGCATCGGTTCACACATACCTCCAGGTTGGAAGGGACCTTTAAAATGACGGAGTCCAACCATCACAGAATCAGGGAACTGTTAGAGTTGGAAAGGACCTCTAGAGCTCATCCAGTCCCACTCCCCTGCCAAAGCAGGGTTGCCCAGAGCACAGCACTCAGGATCATCCAGGTGGGGCTTGAAGATCTCCAGAGAAGGGGACTCCACACCTTCCCTGGGCAGCCTCTGCCAGGGCTCTGCCACCCTCACCCCAAACAAGTTCTTCCTCCCATTGCAGTGGAACTTCCCATGGTCCAGCTTGTGCCTGTTGCCCCTTGTCCTGTCCCTGGGAACCACTGGAAAGAGTCCGTCTCCATCCTCCTTCAACCCACCCTTTAGACACTTGTCAGCATTGATAAGGTCTCCCCTCAGCCTTCTCTTCTCCAGGCTCAAGAGCCCCAGCTCTCTCAGCCTTTCCTCATCAGGGAGATGCTCCAATCCCTCCATCATCTCTGGTGCCCTTCGCTGGACTCTCTCCAGCAGTTCCCTGTCTCTCTGGAACTGGGGAGCCCAGCACTGGAGGCAGGATTCCAGTGGTGGCCTCCCCAGTGCAGAGCAGAGGGGGACAATGACCTCCCTCCACCTCCTGGCCACACTCTGCCCTACGCAGCCCAGGATCCCATTGGCCTCTTGGCCACAAGGGCACATTGCTGGCTCATGGATAGTTTACTATCCACCAGAACCCCCAGATCCTTCTCCTCAGCAGTGCTTTCCAGAAGATCCATCCCAACCTCTATAGATGCCTGGGGTTCTTCTTCCCCGGGTGCAGGACCCTACATTTGCCCTTGATGAACCTCCTGAGGTTCTCTGCCCAGCTCTCCAGCCTGTTCAGATCACACTGGAAGGCTCCTGTAACGGAGTTAACCGGGCACTGTGCCCCAGCCCAGGGCTCTGGCCCTTCCCCGCCGCCCCCAGCGCTCAGCCGGTGGCCAGTGGCCGGCGGAGCCCGCGGGGAGCCCGGGCACCCCCGGCGGAACCTTAGTGCGGCGGAACCTTAGTGCGGCGGAGCGGGTTCCGCGGGGCGGGGGGAAGCGGCGGAGCGCGCCGAGCGGAGCGGGGCCGGGGGGAAGCCGTGGCGGGAGCGGGCCCGGCCGGGCCCGGGGCAGGCCGCCATGTACGCGGGGCTGCAGGAGCTGGGGGTGGCCAACGGCGAGGACCTGAAGGAGACGCTGACCAACTGCACGGAGCCGCTGAAGGCCATCGAGCAGTTCCAGGTGGGGCGCGTCGCCATGGAGATGCACAGCGCCTATGGCGGCGGTGCACCGGGGCCCATGGTGGGCCGGGGCTGTGGGCTGGTAAAGAGCAGGAGAAGCCCCCAAGTGGGGTTTTCTGTGGTATTTTCTTCTTTTTATTTTGTAACCAGCATGTCTTTAGCAGTCCGTGCTGCCGTTTGGTGGTTGGTGGAGCCGGTTAACCCCTCACCACCGTCCCTGTCTGCTGTTTGTGTTGGCAGACGGAAAATGGAGTGCTCCTGCCCTCGCTGCAGTCGGCCCTGCCCTTCCTGGACCTGCACGGCACCCCCCGGCTGGAGTTCCACCAGTCCGTGTTCGACGAGCTGAGGGAGAAGCTGCTGGAGAGGGTCTCTGCCATCGCTTTGGAAGGGAAAGTCGAGGAGAGGTTTGTCGGTGCTCTTGTGGGTCATTGGGAGAGGCTCCTGTAACGGAGTTAACCGGGCACTGTGCCCCAGCCCAGGGCTCTGGC